AAATCCGTGCAGACTCAGCCCAAAGCGGACAATATCATACTAGTGTTGAGTTGATATCAGAGCAATTTTTGCCTCTGCCTTACTTAGAATTTTCTTCTCGTCAAATTCTTGATCAAGATTCGCTTTAAATTTTTATTTGAAAATATTTTGGTTTTTTATTTTCAACAATTGTTTTTCGATATTTTCTTGATCAAAATCCAATCATGCGATTTGAGAAAATTTCATTATTATTTTCAACAATTGCTTTGCGATATTTTCTTGATCAAAATCCAATCATGCGATTTGAGAAAATTTCATTATGTTTTTAGAAAAATTTTGAATTTTATTTTGAAATTAATTTATGCAAAATATTAAATTTCTGAATTTTTTTTTGTGTTTCGATGGAGTGTTCAGATTCTTCTGTAATGTCTTATGTGCACTTCATATCTGTGTCAACTTGTATGTGCAATTAATTACCTTCAGGAAACTTTTCCGTGTTTGAATTATTGAGATATGATATTAGATGAATTAATCTGCAATCGAAATCAGCTTTGTATGGTATTGTTATCGATTGTGGTGTTTTTATACAACCGAGTTGCGGCACATACATGTTAATTAATTTAGTAAAATCAAACATGTACCTATGCGCATTAATATATCTGCGTTTAGTCCGAATTTCTAATGATATCATCTGCAATCATATATATATATTATTTGCAAATATGGATTAATTGCAAGTGGAATCATTCTAAATTCATTCATTCATGAAAATCAATTATGCAAACATACATATATTTGTTTGTTTATTTATTTGTATATATATATATATGATAGCAGCTAATTGTATTTTGAATAAGGATGAATCATGGTGCGTTGGTTTATTTATTATTATTTGCTTAATATAATTCATGCAATTGAATACATATGAATATATAATCGTGTATATAAAATCGGATGTATATATTCTTGTGCCCATTTATTGATTTGTGTTAATTTAGGTTAATATGCATATCAATTGCATTTACTATGTGCGAATTTAATATCAATCGTGTCGCCCTGCATGAATTTATTTGATAGATTTAAAATTTGCATGAATTTTGTTGTCGAATTTGCGGACCACTGCATTTATAAATTACTTGAAATTAAAATTTATTTCGAAATCAAGATTGGATGAATAATAATCTCAAATTCTGATTCATGTCTGCACCAGTTTGTTTGTGCGAAATACTTCATGGAGCCAAACCATATTTATTTATTCATTTATTTGGTTTAAATAAATTGCATGAACATACATCCATACATAAGTGTGCAATTGGAATAACACATATATATTCATGGTCTGGCCATTAGGTTTATTCACCAATCAATATATTTATTTATTCATGGCTGATTTTGTGAATATCAGAATTGTAGATTCATTATGATCTGTTTGAAGGTCCAATTAAATTTGGGATATAGCATGTGTTTTCGACATTATACTTTATGCAAATTCGACTATAAATATTCATTATATTAAATTTATAGTATATTTGGGTGGCATATTTTTGCCTGTGTGATTCCGCTGCATTTAGTATTTTTTGGACAATTTAATTATTTTAATAAGTCCATAAATTAATTGTTGTTGTTATAGCTTTCATATGTATTGGACATACATATTTTCTTTAAGGTGAATTTAATTAGCAATAAATAATATAATATGTTTTATGAATTGGTTGAAACAGTAATATTGCCAAAGCAGTCTCTGCTATGTAGATTGGTTTATTTTATATGTTAGAATGTTGTGTATGTAATTTATAAGACTGCTGATTGACCCAAAGGCAAGCCAGCGATTAAGTAGTTACATGCATGTTTAATGACATTGAATGTGGTGATGATAATTTGGTTATTTGTGTGTGAACAATAGATTTGTCCAAAGATGGAGTATTGTTCGACACATTACTTATTGTCAACTTTCGATTGTCAAAACAAATTTATCAATGGCGAGTCAGTAATTTGTTTAAAGACAATTGCTGATGTTGCTCGGTAACTTGTGATAAGATTGCTAATTTATTTTATTCACATATGGAGCACTAAATAGCTTATAGACATGTGTACTTCAGATTATGTTCATGATGTTTGTGATTTGTTTTAAATTTTATTTAATTGAGGAATAGCCACAGCATCCTTGATTAATTAAACATTTGTTCATAATTTATTTGAAATCACATTAATAGACATCGATTGTAATTATCATGTACAATGTGATGAGATCTACCAACGGGAGTCTTGTTATATTTATATGAGTAATTAGGATAAAATTATCAAATTGTATTTCTTAATCTACCCACAGGAGTTAAGAAAAAGAAGACAATTTGATAGTTTTAATGTTAGGTTTTGTTTGAATCTAATTGAGTAAAACTTTAGCCCACAGGCAAGTCTTATGTCTTTAGATTCATGTCTTAACATGTTTACATTGGTAGAACATGTAATTTACTTGTCTCGTTTATTGATGAGCATGTATATTTAATTTTGGAGCTTTTAATCCTATAAATTTCTCTGACATTAAGTGTGATGTCCCCGAATTGACTGGTGATAATTACGAAATCTGGAAGGAAATGATCTTCCTTCATTTAGGCTGGATGGACATTGATTATGCCAGTCATTCAGTTCTCCACCATGAGATTCACGGGTGTGAGGGGTGTGCGCGAGCACATACTGCGGATGCAGGACATTATCCTACAACACATAAAGATAAATGGTCAATCAATGAATTGATAACCATGTGCGTTCAAGAGGATGAGAGACTATTGATGGAGGAAGATAAGTCTGTAAGCTTAATAAATCCATATATGGATTGAAGCAAGCCTCCTGCCAATGGAATTTGAAATTTCATGATGTTATCTCTTCATTCGGCTTTGAAGAAAACGTCATGAATCACTATATATACCAGAAGGTTAATGGGAGTTGTATTTGCTTCCTTGTGTTGTACGTGGATGGTATTTTGCTTGCAACTAATGATAAAGGGATGTTATATGAGGTACCTTCAAGGTACGAAGGATTTCATGCTCATGTATAGACAAACTGATGTCTTGGAAGTGATTGGCTACTCCGATTCGGACTACGCTAGTTGCATTGACACTCGGAAATCCACATCGGGTTATGTGTTCATGTTGGCTGGTGGAGCTATCTCTTGGAAAAGTGCAAAACAGTCTACCACTGCTACTTCCACTATGGAGGCTGAGTTTGTTTCATGTTTCGAGGCTAGCTCGCGTGGTATATGGTTTAAGAGTTTCATATCCGCGCTTAGAGTCGTTGACTCTATTTCTAGACCGATCAAGTTGTACTGTGACAACTCTACTGCGGTGTTTATGGCTAAAAACAATAAAAGTGGGAGTCGAAGTAAACACATCGACATCAAGTATTTAGCCTTAAGAGAACGTGTTAAGGAAAATAAAGTGGTCATTGAACACGTATACTTGTTGATCCCTTGACTAAAGGCATGCCACTAAAGAATTTCAGGGATCACGTAGCAAGTATGGACTTGATTCTATAATGTAGTTTATTTGCGCACATTGTTATTTGAGACTCTTATTCAGTTTGATGTTTTCTCGCGTTATTGTGCACATATTTGTTTATTATTGAGAAAACTCGCTTAAGTTTAACCCGGAATAAATATATGATTTATTCATTAAGTTGTGAATTTAGTTTGAGATGCTTGACATATCGTGATACATGGAATGTAATATTCGCTTATAGAAGACCTACCGCCATGATTCGTATATAAGGTTTCTCGTTATGTTGTGATGGTTTGAGTGGGCCAAGTGGGAGAATGTTAGTTTAATTAATTATTTAATCATATTTGAATTTTGATTATTTTTTAATTATCTTATATAATTAAATTAACCTTAAATTTTGCCCACTTTTCTTCCATTAAGTCCATCACATTCAAAATATACGTGAGAAGTGGCAGAAAAATCGTGATGGACGATTTTTCTTTTTAATTATAAATACTCTCATATACGGGTTACTAAACCTATTCTGAAAAAATCAGAATACACCATCGCTATTTGAGAGCCAGGGTTTGGCAACGTCATCCTAGGGTTCCAAGATGTGACAGCATCTTCACACGATTCCAAAGTTTGGTAACATCCTCCCAAGGGTTCAGAGTTTGGCAACACCATCTTCCCATACAATTCCAATATACTATTTTTTTTTAAGAAGATCTGAAAAACAAATTTAATTTTTAGCAGTGGCTGGAGGTTTGTTTAAATTTCTCTATCTGCTTCCGCTAACATATTTGATTATATATTTATTTTCTAACAAGAAGTCACAATATGGTTGCATTAAGTGACGAAATTTGCAATGAAATTTTGTATGTCGCAAAATGGCGACTAATTATGCAACCAAAAAATTAAAGGGTCGCAATTTAATTATGAATTTTTTCAAAGGAATGTGTTAACTCGCAATTTAGTGATAGAATTTGATAAAAATATATTATGTTGCAAAATGGGTATAAATGACTAGGGATGAACATTTGGATTTTTGGTTCAAATTTTTTCAAATCTAAACCAATCCAAAAATCTTGAATTTAAATTTTCTACCATTATTTTTAAAATTAAAATTTTATTTTATATTTTTATAATGTTAAATATATAATAAATAAAAATAAGTATATCAAAATATAATTAATAATTTTAAATTATTTTTTAATTAAAATATTAAAATATTATACTACCTCCATCCACAGCCAATCTATTTATTTGCATTTAGTGTCATTCTTTTTAATATTAAAAATATATTTATATTTGTATAATATTTTGTACAAATATTATTACATTAGTATTAAAAATTTAGATTTATTCAGATTGATCAGAAAATTCAAAAATTTTAAAATATTCAATCTGGATCAATTCAAAAATAAAAAATCAAAATTTAAATTTCAGTTTGATTTGGATGAAATTTTAAAGATATTTTGTTCACCCTACGTATCATACAATTTGATAACCAAATTTACAAGGAACAGGACTGACGAATATTTCAGATCCCTTGCAATTCTCCAAGGGATTCTGTGATAAAATTGTATACCGTCACAATAGTTAAAATATTTCTCCATCTATCACGCAACCGATGCAAACACCCATGGCGCATTTACCACGGACACAAACACGGTGTTGATCGATTTTGATCCTTTCAAAAGTTTCTTTTACCACCAACGAGGACTTTGGGGAGTTAATTTTGTTGGGGCAAGAGTTTCAGCAGAGCAATTTTGTTTTTTTCTTCCACAGATTCGTCGGATGGTTAGTAAGCTTTACTTTGTGATATGCGACTATGTAACAACTTCATTACCTTATCAGCTTCTATGTTTTGTTGAAGTTTAAACTTATACACTACCAAAAACAAAATAGTATATCTTAAAGCTCACTGATATGCCTTTGTTACTTGTGATTTCTCGAACTTTTGAAGGAATTGAATCTGTGAATTGCGGTAAAAGTACTTAATGAAATTAACCAACCATTCTGTATAAGGAACTAAAACTAGAACACGCGAAAGCTTGTTTGGTTGTAATTTGAAATTGATTTGAAATGGGGTATTACAAATTGTTTTTGACAAGGTAATGAGCTGTAGTTGCTATTGTGTAACATACTAAGCCATCAAAAGACCTCTATTACACATTAGTAAAATTGAAATTAGAAGATCTAGTTAGAGCTGCTTAAGAATTTTTTATGGGAATGTTCTGTTGTCTTAACTACGAGGCCCATATCTAAGAATGCCCAAGAATTTAGGATTCTAAACAGAGTTAATCATTTCGTTCCATTTGCTTCCAGGTTCTGATTAGTAGCCATTAATGGTTATTTTATATATATAAACATCAGTACATTTGTAACTTACTTAATAAGTAGAAATGATACACATACATATATAAAAAGCCTATCTATATCTATATAGCCCTTGCAAGTATAGATTCTTAGTATATTGTGTGCTTTCATTGTACAACTAGTTTCTTGATCTATATTATATACCATGGAAAGTCTATACTTATTTTTATCGTGGATTGAGGTTCCGCAGATAATTGTATTGTTCGTTGTACTTTCTTTGGGTAATAATCATTCATACTTAGTATAATTTTTTTAAAATTTTGGTGCAGGTCTCCAACAGTAATCACAATTATTAGGACCATTTTACTCTCTCTTTCAATCTCTCTCATCAAGCACTGCAGTTTAATTTCTTCTTATTTCTCACGGAATTAGAACTTTGCAGTCGGCATAAAGTTTTCACCATCGGGTATGATATGATTAATAGATCTTTAATTTTTGTATTTCAAATTGGGATTATGATTGTGTTATTTGAAGATATATATAATAAAGTTGGATTGAATTATTTATTTATTTTAGTGTGTGTTTGGACAATTCGATTGCAGCACAGTAATTTAGAATTATTTTTTTGTATGATCTTTCACCTTAATTTCATGAATTATTTTTTTGTATGATCTTTCCAAACACGACTGTTTTTGCTATGCTCTGATTCCTTGGACATATTTGCCCTTTTATACAACCTTCAAATCTCAATAATTAATTAATATACTATAGAATTTCTATTGCAATTCTCATGTTGTAGTGTGCAGACCTGCACATGGTCGTGAATGAGTTATGAGGAAGTGAGTCTGTCCAGCCCCACATACATACATACATATACTACATACTCATAATACTATATTTATTCTTCCTCCTATCTATATATTATACTCAAATTATAATTTAAATACCAGATTTAAAAATATAAATGTTTAATTATAATTGTATTTTTATTCTAAGCCTTCTTGTCAAAGGTCATGCTTCCAAAGAGTAAGTATATTATAGTCCCTTTATATCCTCATACTATTTTTTTTTGCACATTGCTACTTTTTGTTCGTTGTAACTTTATGTTATGTAAACATTTATTTTAATCTAAAATTTCTACACTAGAATTTTGTAGAAATTAAAAATTCAAATGCTGTAAGAACAGAGCCAGTACTGGTTGGTTCTGGTGGCCATGTGTACCGGAAATTGAATGGTTTGGGGATTCCGAAGTGCTCCATCAAAGTAAGTCGTGGAATGTTTTGTAATTCTTATAACCTAGTGCTTATACCTAAACCTTATTTTTGACAACTATTACTCCCAACAGATATTGGAAATGGGGATTCCCTTTCCTTAGATGAGAAATGGTTCACCGTTAATGATGAAGGGAAATAAGTTGAAAAGCACATTGCTTATGCAAGGTATGTTCCCATCTCCATCAAGCTTCTATTCTTCTTCACCATGAAAAAAACTTAGGGTGTGTTTGTGCTTTGAATGTTTTGTTAGGACTGACGAACTCAACACTAAGTATGATTTTGCTGCTTTGGGCTGAGCAAGTGCAGATTGATTTTTGGACGTCCCAATGTGGGACTTGAATTTGCACCCCAACATGTTTGGGGGTGTTGGATATGCATTTGTTTTTATGAGAAATAAGTTTTCAATGTGATTTTTGAATGTGAAATTGATTTTCGATGTTACGGCTTTTTAGGTGAAAACTATTTTAACGGGGAATAGAGATAAATATATATGTTTCCCCTGTTACTCCTAATTGCTGGTTGAAAATACACTTAGTGGGTGCATTTTCAAGATTATTCTTTTATCTGTGTTTCTGATAAATTACTGAATTGGAAACAAATCTGCATCACTTCCCATCAATATTTTGCTCTGTTTTTGTCAAGCATTTATTTGTTTTTATTCACAAAGAAGAATATTTGCTGCAGCAGCATCAAGCGAAGAAGGCCAAGGAAGGAATCTGAAGAGGAATTATGCAAATAGTTGGGTTCCAGTCGAAGAATCAAACTCAGCTCCATCTGAAGCAGATGCAGATGGGACGAAAGTCCAATGATGCATGCCATGAATAACCCAAGCAGTGATGTCCGTGAAGCAAGAAGGCTTTGGTTTCTGACACATCAGTGAACCAACCTCGTTAGTGACCCAGAAATTAATGATGATCTGTATGAAGGAAAAAGAAAAAATGAAAACAAGCATAACACTAGTTGAATATCTCCAAGGTATGATAATGTCAATTTCTAAAATTCTTCTTGAGTATTATTACATGAATCTTATTTTCTCCTAGGTGCTTTATTGCTTACATTATTTATGGCCCAAGAATGCCTCGCGTTCATCCAAACATAAGAATGTTGGAAAGTTCGAAATGTGCCCATTTACTATTTGAAAGAAGAAACCAATTTCTGAAGACAACCAAAGATGGAGCAGCAAGAAATCTGATAATTATGCCATTGCATGCATTGCAAGATCAGTTTTAGAAAGTTTTAGCTGATTCTTTGTTTTTTACCCTAACATGCTGGAAGTACATTACCTTTTCGGTTGGACGTAGAAGTTTTTCTCTTGAATCAGTGATTGTCGATTCTATATCCACAAAATTAACCTTTTCACTCATTTGATAAGGATTCTGCCAATTTCGCAATGCACAATTTTCTCATGCGACATACTCTTTCTTATACGCAATTGCCATTATTCTCATTATGATCTTGTTTCAAGTAATTTTGTTATAGGAATTTCTCGACTAAGGATTATGTCAACAGGATGCCATTGGATTTATTAGGGAAATCGATGCAAAAGTTTTTGTTCTTGAGCTATTTTTCTTTTCAATTTATTTTTTAATTTGTGATAGATATCAATAGAGATGCATGACTTTTGTATATGATTTTAAAATCAACTTATGTAATTATATTCGTGTGGAATTTAGTGAAAAAAAAAATTGATTAATTTATCTATTCGATATTTAATGAGGAATCATAGAATGTATTAGTATCCATTGCTGATAACAGTAAAGTAAAATAAGTTTTGCTCTCTCTGGTTTGAAAAATTATGAATCCTCTGTGTTTCTAGAGGTGTCTGACAAATAGGATAATAAATCACCCACAATAATGTATAGCCTCATATAATGTCATTTTATTTAATTATAAGAGTTGTGTTGTTGCTAATTGCATTTTTGTTGCATAATGTGCTTTTAAATTCGCAGCGGCAAGCATTTAAGTGAAAATTTTATAAGGTCTAAATTTTACTTTTGTTTGTTAATTTAGGATTTGGCATCATGAAAAAACTTGCTATGTCTTCTGGCTAGTAATTCTATAAATAAATAAATAAAAGTCGTGGTTAAACCAGGGGCACCATCAAATGTTGGAGAAGAAGAAAAAAAAGAAAAGAGACACTGACTGTAATTTTTAAATATATCATAGATAAGAATAATTAAAATATGGGAATAATAAAAAAATTAAATGTATAAAATTAAATAACACTTGTCATCGATTAATTGGTGTGGCACGAGGTGCCGAGTTGCACTCGAGGCCGAGGATCTCGTCACATATTCTTTTAGACCAGATTTAGTCTCCTAAATCTTTTCATAATAAAACCATGAGTTAGCACACATTATAATTATTAATTACACTGCACAAAGTTTTATAATACAATGGAAAATTTTGAAAGAGATTAAATTGATTTTGTAAAACAAGATAGTTTACAATTTTTCTTTTTTTTTTTATTTCAAAAGTATATGGTTTTTAGGATTAATGGAATAAACTTAATTTCACACGTTACAATTATGATACAATATTATATATATATATGAGATATATTAGGCAGGGATATATATATATCTAAATATATATAATATATATCAACATATATATATATATATATCAACATCCCCTCAAACTCAAGGTGGAACCCTTGCTCAAGAATGACTGAAAACGGCCGGGAAGATGAGGCTTGGTGAAACCGTCGGCAGTCTGATCAGCAGAAGGAATGGGAGACAAGGAGATGCTGCCATGAGCAACGTGATGACATACATGGTGACAATCGATCTGAATGTGCTTTTTACGCTCGTGGAAGACATCATTTGTCAAAATCTTCATGGCGCTCTGACTGTTGCAATGAATAATAGTGGCAGAGGACTGAGGCACTCCGAGATCAACCAGCAGCCAGCGAAGCCATAGAAGCTCGGCAGTAGTGTCGGCAAGAGCTCTATATTTGGACTTTGCACTGGACCAGGAGACAACCGTCTGTTCTTGCTGCGCCACAAAATAAGCGAGTCACCAAGGAAGAAGCAAAACCCGGTGGTCGAGCGGCAATCAGAGGGATCTCCCGCCCAATCAGCGTCAGAATACCCGGTCAAAACCAAGGAGGAACGAGCTGAATAATGAGGCCCATGGAGGAGAGTACTTTTGATGTACCAGAGAATCCATAGAACAGCAGAATGATGAGTCGTCCGAGGGGTAGACATAAATTGACTGACGATATGGACGGCATAGGCAATATCCGGTCGAGTGACAGTCAGGTAGATCAGACTTCCCACCAGCTGACAATACATAGTAGGATCATCGAGGGGGATGCCGTCCATCGAAGTAAGACGACAATCAGAATCTAGAGGCGTAGGGGCAGTCTTGGAGTCAGTGAGACCAGCACTAGATAGAAGGTCGGAGGCATACTTGGCTTGAGAGAGATAATATCCGTTGGAGGTGTCAGAGATCTCAAGTCCTAGGAAGTACCGAAGAGGCCCTAAGCTCTTCATCTCAAAGTGGCGGTGTAGATGAGCCTGTAGCTAAGATATACCTGATGCATCATCTCCCGTAATGATCATGTCATCCACATAAAGTAGCAAAATAATAATTCCAGCTGACCCACGACGAAGGAAGAGAGCCGAATCATGATCGCTGGAAGTAAAGCCAAGCTGGAGTAGAACAGAGCTAAATTTCAAAAACCAAGCTCAAGGTGCTTGTTTCAAACCATATAGGGCACGACGAAGTTTACATACCTAGTTATGTTGTGAGCGTTGTAGTTATAAAGAAATAGAATATAAATAATTTTAATAGCTCTAGATTTTAGTCAAATAAAAAAATAAATCCATTCCAACTCTAGGATTATTATATTAAAAAATATCTCACAATTTAAAAAAAAATATATACAAAACCAAACAAAAAGATCTATCATTATTATTATTATTTTCACAACCAATAACTCCATTATGATACAAGAATAGTAAAATATTGAGGACCATATTTATATATATATATATATATAACAAGATAGGAAAATGAATGTGCAACATACCAACATAATTAAACATAATTATGAATAAATCGTTGTTAAGATCAAATGTCGCTTCACTCAAATAACAACCTTTATATTTTCACTTCAGGTGGGTTCTGTCAGGAAATATAATAGATTTGCACCCACGAATAAATCAAAGTAAGCATGCCGAGAATGAAATGAAGAGACGGTGCAATTTATTAGTCATTGGCTCAATCTCGTTGTCTACCACACGTCTGGGATTTGTTTGTTTCACGGTATTGCAATATCATCGTAATTTATCAAAGTCTTCAGTTCAAAACCATGTAAACTTCATACGACATCTATTTCACTCTCCATTCTTGCTTGTAACTGATATTTAGCTTGTATATCTTTTAGTGTAATGGCAGATCGAAAGGCCTCTGTTATCCTTAACATTTATTGCACGATCGTGGCTACCCATGGAGAGGTAGCACATGGGTGACTTTGATCTTGAAGATTTTTTTTCACCACACATATGTTGCAATTTACATTTGGAGTACGAAATTGACCCTCTCCAGTGTGGTAAGTTGCATATATTTGTCATTAACAAACCTCCTTAAAGAATGTATGAGATTGTGTATTGTTGATATCAATTAGCAAAAATAATTTTTGCTCTCGCAGGTTTGAAAAATTATGAATCTCTCTCTCAGTTTTGTATAAGTAAATGACAAAAATGATAATATATTATCACTCACTATAATTTATAAGTTCATATAATGCCATATTATTTAATTACAAAGTTTCATTGCTGCTACTTGCATTTTCGTTGCATCTTAATTAAGATATGTATTTATACATTTGTCTCAAGAATTTAAGTGAAACACATGGTCTAAGATTTATTTTTGTTTGTTGTGGATATGAGCATCATATAAAACTTGCTAAATGACCCATAGTTCTACAAACAAACAAATGTCCCACACATGGTTCGTCTAGTGTGGTTTGTTTTGTCGGACTAGTTTGCAGGCTATTAAATTCGGCTAGGGTTTAACCCGAGCACAGTTGAGTAGCAGCTGCGGGTTCCCACATTATCAAAAAACATGTCATTGTTGATCTAGCTGGATGCACGGTCACATTTTGGGAAAAGCAAATAAAATGTATATATACACATATATGTTAGGATGAAGAAAGAAAAAAAGGCTTTAAATTTAAAAATAATAATAGATAAAGAATAATTAAAATATGAAAAAAAAATTATAAGGTTTAACTTTAAATTAATACTAATAACACTTGTCACCATTTAATTGATATGGCGGGAGGGCTGAATTCCACCAGGGCTGGGGATCCCATCCCATATTCTATAGACCTATTTTTTGTCTTCTAAAATTTTACATAAATAAAATAAAATACTATACTATAATATAATACATATTGTTCTTGATTCTACTGTACAAACATTATAAAATGCAAATGAAAGTTTGAAGGAGCTTATATTGACTTTGGAATATAAGATAGAGTTTTTTTTTTTAACGAATTACTCAATTATGAACATTGCTATAAATTGCTTCAAAAACTGTGCTGCATCGACCTCACTACCGCCGACATTCTTCACGAAACATCCCATGGGAGACGCAAATAATCATCAGATCGTTCCTGCTTCGGTGTTACAAAAATTCCAGGAAATCAAGATGAGACAACAATGACAAAAAAACACAAGAATTTGGTTACCCAGTTCTATCAGAATGATCTACGTGTGGGGGTGGTGCCAAGCCAGGAAATTTACTATAGAATAGAATACACAGAGCACTTCTTAAAGTGAGAATACCTGAATATTTATAGTTTAAGCCTATGCTAATAATATCCAAATCATATCTCGAAATCAAGGATGTAATATCCAAATCATATCTTTAGATTTTAAAATATAATCATGCTTCATATCCCAACAATCTCCCACTTGAAGACCGATTATATCTTTCATTTCAACATTTTACTTGATCCGCAATGATAGCTCCAAGCCTCATTTTTCACTCATCGAGGCCCATTGAGGTTGAACACAACCTCAATTCATCTAAGGTCACCACCTTAGGTTTTCTTCCAGGATTGCTCATAAATCGACTCACTACTCCCACTACATGTGCTATATCTGGCTTTGTGCACACCATTGCATAACGCTTACTCACATCAGTCTTCTCCTTTATTCTGTAAATCCAATTTTCAAATTGCTCACCTATTGTTGTTGTAAAAAAATCGCCACCGACGATTTAATCGGAAAAGCATGTCGGAATTGATTTAATTGCAGGGTTCCCCGGTGTAACACCCCCAGTTGGCTCATACTGGAAATGCTACCGCCACACTGCATCATGAGGTCGTCACCTCCTACTTCGGGCCCCACAATATAGTGTTAAAGCTA